ATTGTCTAGTAGTAGTAGTAGTAATAATATCAGGACTAATTAGGCCAGTTGGAATACGAGACATAATTGCTAGTGGTGACGGGATAATTAAACAACAACTGTTTACGTGTGAACTAAATAAAATTACGTTTGTAATTTTTATTAACATCAAGTTATTTATCTATTTTTAACGCCGAATTATTTTATTTATATTTACTTTAACTATCTTAACTCATCATTCTTTTATGTAAACAGACACTACCCCACCAAACGTTTAAAAGTGCTAGGCATCATTTCAAAACATATCCTATAATACCTCAAATGAACAATATCTTTCGCCTGTGGTTTTAAGTTTTTACCTTTCCGTTTTTCTATCCCTATAAAGGAGTAAGAGATCTGAATAGAACCTGATCCTTCCAGGTCGCGCACAACAACAGCATGCCTATCTGAACACAGCTATCCCCATAAATATGTTTCTAACAAAAAATATACTTAATTTAAATTCAATTAAATTCTATGAAGGGTGCCCAGACATCCAATTTTTTGGAATGTTGTCTAGGTAACCGAAATATCCGTTTCGAGACACTTAACTGACCCGGTTTTCATTTTTATCAATAATTTGCAAGTTTGAAATATAACAGCATAATCTTCTACTGCTTCTTCTGAAGTTATATATAAGAAGCTGCAGTAAACGAGATGTTATTATTGCATCTGTAAAAAAAAAAGAGGCAGTTGAATACAAATAGTTGATGTTCTATTTCTCTTTTATAGTAAGGCATGCAACAACCTTTTATACGGGAGATAAAAATATTTTCTTGTAACGCGCCATTATATATATATATAAAAGCTACCTTATTGAAACCGTGGTTGGATCAATAATACTGTTGTAATATTTTGCTTCTAGTTTTTGAATGTACGAGAAACTAATACCTTTAAATGTACCTATATTCTAAAATATTACAATTTTGTTAAGTGAATATCTTAGAAAGTGTTTAAATACACGACAAGAAACTAACAACCCGCTACTACTATATGATTCCTCAAAAGTTTTGTACTGTGAGACTAGATTAGGTTGGTATGGTAACTTAAAACGTAATGTGCTTCAAATATAATGGAAACTGTTCTATCACATACGCTTCAATTCATTAGTTGCATGCCTTAGGTACCTTTTACAACTCTTGGCTGATCGGGAGGTCAGCTGTGAACGGCATCTTATTGCCTAGCCAACGTGATAAAACTTGGAGTGTTTGTTTGCGTTGACAAGCACACAGTAAACAACCAACATGACTAGATTGCTTACACGCAGGCCTATACATATTTCATGTTCTTGAATAATGCTGCAAGATTATTGTATGCGTGTGTGAATATCGGGGAATGTAATATATGCGTTACATAGAAAGATTATAGCTATTGATCATTGGAAATTTAATACTCCAAGGTTTACAGCAAAATGTAATTAAAATTAAAGTGGGCTCGAGGAAAAGCCTAAGAGAGGGTAAAAAAGGATTGTAGTATGCAAATGCTACCTAACTTACTCTCCTATAACATATACATCTTCTGTACAAAAGTTTGCAATTTTTTCCATGTCCTGATTTGAAACATCCTAGGTTGAAGTAAAACTATTATGTTTTTATTTTATTAAGTATATTATCTGCTATTGACTTCAACACCATCTTATCTCTTTCATTTAACTTGTAACAAATTACTACAATTGTCCTTCTGCATATTAATTGGAGAGACTTTGAGCTAGATTTCTCTTTGAATTATTCGGTCGTGAAGAAATTAATGTTGCCTTTTGGAACACTTTCATTAACCATCCCTAAAAAAACGTACATCAAGTATAATAGTTAAACAAACCGCCTAAACGTCACGTTAGTGTAGCCTATATAATGCGTAAAGTTTAGTATACTCTAATCCCTTATAATGATGGCACACCACGAGACACACATTTGGCATGCAATGCTGTTTGAATACAAGAAGGGAAACAACGCCCCTGTAGCCATAAATAATATCAAATTAGTTTATGGAAATGCTTTGAACGTTCGTAAGTGTCAACTATGGTTCAGCAAATTTCGTTCAGGTGAGTTTAGCC